TTGCCTGAAGGATGGTTTCTGTACAGGAAAGAAAATATAACTTTACATATTTTGAGGTGGACAGCAATTTCTTTAACGACCTTCTTGGAAAATTTGAATACTCTTCTACTACATTACTATAATACTATTTTTACTGAAAGGAATCTTACTCTTTTTTGGCAATAAATACACAGACTAGATTAAAGCAACTAAAATGAGTTGATATTTGTACTATTGAAATGACTAAGGAGATGTAATTCTGTTATAAATTTTTAGTTGAACTTGTCTTCAGTTCTTTAAAAGAACAAAATGGACATTTCTTTTTGAACATTTTCTTTTTGTGGTATTCTTAGTAAAGCTGAAAAACAGATAAGTATTCTCAGTATTCCGGGAAAGGCATTTTTCTCCTGAGAAATTTTCTTAGTTCTTATCTCATGACTCATATTGTTCAAGAATTCTGCCCTGATTATTTTTATTCAACATTTATTTTCTATATGCCTTAAGCAATCCTGTATATAATTTATAAAGTATCACTGACTTTTTTCTCTTTTTTAATGGATTTTTATCTGAGATCCACCACTTATGAAGAATATAAGTGATGTATATTCTTTTCTACTCTCCATGTATGGAACAGAGGGGCTTGCACAGTAGGTACTTGTCAGAATCTGTTGATTATAACTCCAATTTCTAATTTTTTTCCTTAGTAATGGGGACCTGACATTATTTATGGTGGTCCAATTAAAATATTGCATTGACTTGCCTCAGATTCTTTTAAACTTCAATTCAATAATTTAGAATGACCTATAAGAAAAAGATATTCCTTTTGAAGCCCAGTGTGGACAATCTGATATTAATAGTAGTTGGTTGGTGGCACTTTTGAAAAGCCTTTAAAATGGTTTGTCTACTCCAGCCGTCTCATACATGATCACCATGAACATTTTGATGATTAAAATTTCCTTATAGTTACTGCATTGCTTTATAGTTATTTTCATATTACTTTCCCTTTGCAAAAGGGTAATTCTATCCTGTTTTTAACTCCTGATTTTTTAAGATAAACAACAAACACACAAATTATATTTAAAATGATAGAATACATTAGGTTTCCTTTTTCCTCCTAAGAGCGAAGTATTATAATAACAATAACAATGACAACAACAACACTTGCAGTGAGAAAAAAATGGCTTAGACCCACAGGAACAAAACAGGACAGGAGTTAGATGCCAAGACATTTCAACAAAAGTTTGGAAAATGTAAGACAAAAAAGTAGTAACTGATTTGACAGCATCAGGAAGGCTAAGTCTAAATTACCAACAGAGAGGAATAGTGAGGAAAAGGGCAGAGATTCTCTTCCTGGAATCCCTATGATGATTGGGATGCCAGGATGCCAGGTCAGGGGGAGGTGAGGTTCAGGGCTGCTAATGAAGGTTAAGAGAAAGGAACAGTTCAATCTTCCATCCTCTCTTTCTGCTCCCAGATGCTATTGGTGGCATATGAGTCACAGACAGAATATTGGCACCTTTGCTTAAGAAAATGAATGTTAATGTCACATCTGCCTTTGGAGATTACAAATGAAATGGCTACCTTTCTAGTGGAACCCTAACCAGAAGCCTACCAATAAATTAAACATTTACATAAGGGTTTTGAAAAAAGAAAAAAGTCAGTCTTAAAAAAAACCAAAAGGAAACTGGTAGAATTAGAGGTAATTCACTGAAAAAAAACTTTAAAAAGCTATATCTTCTCATCAATGAAAGAAAATATTTGTAATCTTTAAATAAGAATATGATACATTGAAAAAATATAGAAAAAATTATTTTTGGAAAGTAAATAAAATCAAATAAAAAGAACAATAAACAAAATTAAAATAAATTAGTATGGCATTATAAGAAAACAAGTAGTCAAAGAAGTCATAAAAGTACAGTCTCTATGAAAGTAGAATAAAAATGTCAAAGAAATAGAAAATAGGAAAGATAAACACAAGAAACATAAGGAGTCAGGTTAGGGGCAAATCATTCAACTCACACATATTCCAGGAGGACAAACAGAAGGATGGATTTAAAAGAAACAATGAAAATGAATTTCTGAGAACAGAAAAGCTTAATTTTCTCAATACGAAAGATTTACTGAATGCCCAGCACAAGATTTAAAAAAATCCCAAGGCACATTACTATGAAATTTTATCATCTTAATGATTTAAAATAAGGTAAAATTATTAAGAAAAAACCACATAGCTCACAAATGAGCAGAAATTAAAATGGCATGAGTATGCTCTGTAGCAAACCCATCCTTGGAATACAGTGGAAAAGTTCGTCAAACTGATTTTCATCCTAGAATTCTATATAGAATAAATTTATCAGGAAGATAGAATAAAGCTTTAGTCATGCAAAAATTTATAAAGTTTACTTCACAAGTATTCTTTGTTTCTGAAAGTATGGGATAATGTGTCCCAGCAAAACAAGAGGAAGAAATGAGATCAATCAATAAATATATGCAATGCAGGGTGGCTAAAGCTATTTTTAAAAAGATCCCAATCTCTTTTCTTTTTCCTTTATCTTTCTTCATATGAGTCAGGTAATGTGCACGTCATGAGGTTTGAGGGAGATACATCTCACGCAGGAATGCGAAAACTGAGTCATCATGCTTATGAACCACAAAGGGATCAAAAGGCACTTTTAAGATGACAGCTGTACAGTCGGCATAGGAGACAACAGAAATGGATGAAAGCAGACTATGGAAGCCCCCCAGGTTCTCAAAACAGAGAGGGTGAAAATTTATATTATCTAATATATTGAAGCATCTTAGTTGTAAAGGTACAGTCAGTAGTTTGAAACAAGTTTATACACTCAAGGAAGGATACATTTATAGAAAATTATATCACTTAGAGTTCCAACAGGAAGTTAATGACACACTTAATATAGGATAATAAAGATTTATTTAAAGAGATGCTGTCTATGAGTTTATAGGCATAGAGTACCACACAAGCCAGTGCTATAATCAGAGATAAGATACGGTGGAGCTGTTTACACCATTGTGCCTGAAGGGACTGAGAGAGGGAGGAAATACAGAAACCCCAACAAGAGAGATTTATGATAACCATTTGAAAGGAGGAATGACCTTTAGTGGGAGGTCAACCAGCATGTGGCCACATGGTCTAGCTTATTCTCCTTCATACCCCTTTCCCAGTTTTATTGAAGTATAATTGACAAATAAGAATTGTACATATTTAAGTGTGCAACTTGATGTTTTGAAATATGTATACACTGTGAAGTGATGATCACATTTAAGATAATTAACACATCCCTTACCTCACAGGGTGACCTTTTTGTGTGTGTGGTGTGAACCCTTAAGATCTACTCCCTTAGTACATTTCACTTGTTCAATACAGTATTGCATTGTAATACAGACACCATGTTGTGCATTAACTCTCCATTAAAAGAAACAATGAAATTCATTTTGCATAACTGAGACTTTGTAACCTTTAATCAATATTTCCTCATTTCTCCCTTTCCTTTCCACCCCATGGCAACCATCATTCCACCTCCAGTTTGAGTATTTTAGATTCCACATATAAGTGAGATCATGCAGTATTTGTCCTTCTGTATCTTGCTTTTTAAAGGCTGAATAA